AGAAAACAGTCGTTGGGTGCCCCTGGCGGATTCAGAGGTGCTTATATAGGAGAGAGAGGTGACGATAAAACTTTTAGCTAAAAAGGGGCGTTTCATAGCGCCCTCTGACTTCTAGATCCGCCACTGCACACAATTATTTTTTTGCTTGTTATAGTCCGCCGTTTCATATTGTTAAGTACCGGAAACTGCCGCTTATAAACCCTGGGCTTATACAACTTCTAGTAACTGTTTTATACGTGTACAGAAAAACGTAAAATTATTCAGAAAAGGAGTACTCTGATCAAATGTAAGCAAGATCACAGAAATACGGGGGAAAAGGGGAGGGGACTTATATCCGGGATGGGGGTGGCGGGTGGGTTGTTAGCCTTCCTCCCCCCGACTTGTATCCGGGGAGGAGGGAGGGAGGGAGGAGTTTAGGCGGCAGTTTACGTTATGTGATTCTAATTCCGACCACTTTTTGTTCGTCTGGAAGAGAGAAAAAGTAAGGAAGGACCTAGTCTTTCCTAAGAATAACTTTTAATGTATCTCTTTAAAAGAGAATTTTGAGCTGTGGCGATGGCACGTGAATTTGTTTTTTCTGCGCTCATTCATTTGTTCAAGACGCCTCGACTTACATCTGAGTCCCGAGTAAAGTTTAAACGTTTTAACACACGAAAATAAAATTCATATTTTTGTGTTGCTGTGTCAAGTACTTTAGATATGTAGAATTCCTATTTGTCTTAACACCGGACTTTATATATCCGCTAAAAGGCTAATTTTTGGCGCTAATGCACATAATAATTGATATTTCTGCCAGATCAAAAAACATTCCTTTTCTATCTATTCTTTTTTTAATTGGACGTCCTAATTCCGGCCAACTCTCAGGTAACCTATCAGACTTTAGCATCATAGCCTGATTCATCTTGGTCCTACAACAAAGTTCTTCTCGCATAATTTATCTTTTAAACATGGAGATTAAAAGTCATGGAATGTTATACCAAGTTGATCTTTGGACTGTTTATTCCTGCATCTGATGGCCTTAAATTGTGACGGGAATAGGCCATTTGCACTAAGAGGTCATGTGGCATCATTTTTGTGAAAATGAAAGTTATATGATTATGCCTTCGAAAACGTTTAGTGGGTAATATCTTAAACAAAATAATAGTGACTTGGCTTTTCAAACCCGCACCATTTTCTTAAAATGAATAAGTTTGTAGCTAGTCACGTGACTAAAACGTGATTTTTAAAATCATGAATTACCCTTTCTGAACACAAATTTTGCACTTAAACTTCAAGGAAAATGTTGAAATGGTGATGTTTACAGCACATCTGGGCGTAACTATCGAATGTTTAACAAGGATACAAGCAAAAAGTAGTTTTAGCCGCCATGTTGAAGGGCAAACTCTTGCCCTCCTACATGGCGGCCAATACAAATCATACTATTTTGTTGAAAAATCAAAGTGCCATAAAGTATCTTCCTTAAACTCGTTTACTCTCAAATTTTTGGGTTTAAGATAATTTTTATGTGCGTTGTCAATTTTTCACATCAGCAAGATTTCAATTGACTGTTCAAAGGAAGCATTGGTTACGTGACCTCTCAGTGCAAGTCCAATACGTCCTTTCTGATCGGAATTAGGACTTCCATAAAATTTTAAATCTCCAGATTTAAAATCCCTTTCAAAGATAAGCCTGAACACAACATTCCTTCTGATAAAAGCCCCCCTTCAAAAGCCCGCTTGAAAGCCCCTTCTTAAGTCGACCAAACTAGCCTTTTGAACAAAAATTAACTCAGGGATTATTTTCGAAATTTTGCGGCATTTTATTAAAAAGGGCTATCATACCATATGCAATTTAACAGTAATAAAATTGAAGTGGAAGTAATAAATTTACCAGAATATTCAGCTACATTTAATTGAAGATTGAACTACTGCGCTCCTCAACACAGTTCTGAAACTCTGAAACAGATAATAGAGTTTTAAAATTAGTGTCTGAGGAAATACATGTAACTTGACCATTCTGTAAAAGATATGCATTTATACAGGTCATTACACAACATCCAATTACAGCTAGTAATAAAGTAAGCGGCGTTCAGAAAGATTTCTCCAAGCTTATTACTAGTGATCATCCAGTCACAACACAGTAGAAAGAACTATTTTCAAATGCGAGATTAAAGCTTGTAATAAATGCTAAAAATCCTATTAATTTCCCCGAATTACATATTTTTATTAATAAGTAACAAGTGAACCTGGACTTCAAATTGGTTACAAAAAGAAAGCAACTGGCAAGTCTGCCGAGTGGGGCTACGCCAGTCTGTGCTATTCACCTACAGGTGACCACTTGTATGGGAAAAAAACAAAAGACCTATTTTCCCGGTTACTATAAAACATATTTTCCCAATACTTTTGTATTGCTTTTGTTACCAAAATTACCTCAGAAATTATCTGCACCAAGTTCTTCGTCTGCCTCTTTGATGGCACTCTTAACAGAGTCATTTATTTCCTTTATTTTAGCTGGATCTTCTGAAGGAAGTGCTTTTATCAGCTCTGTTTCTATCTGCTTTATTCTCTTTGTCACCCTCTCGTGGAAATGGTCCTTTGTCTCTGACACATGCTTCTTTATCGCCTCCTGGGCTTCTTTGCTGCCTGTCATGAGCTCATTCCGCTTTGCTTCGATGGTGTGCCGTTCCTTTTCTGGATCCAATGCGATCAAATGGCCAAGACTGGCGAGGCGGCTCATCAGATGTTTGCGGGATATTTCCACGTACATGTTTGATATGGACCAAACCACATACGACGTCGTATTTGCTTGGCTTACTTGCTCGTAGATCAGGTCACGCATGAAATCGGTGTCAGCGTAGCCATTAGCCAGCACTCGCTTTTGGCCCACTTTGGCATATTCAACAAAGCTTGCTAGGCTTTCCTTCTGGCACACCTTGATGATGTTGGTAATAAACTGGAAGAACTCTACCAGTTTCTGCCACTGCTCACGCACTGAAGCCAGGGCCTTGATACCTTGTAACAGGGTTTCTCTAATTTGGTCGAAATTAGCAATCTTCTCTGGGCTGAGTTCTGCAAGGCTTTGTAACACTTTACTTAACTCTTCATTACTCTCCCTCAGTTCCTTGCACGTTTGGTCATAGCGGTTCTCTTGTCTCTCCAGAAGACCTTTTGCTTCAGCGATTTTAAATCGTGCATTTTCAACCGCTGAATTAGCGACACTTGAAGAGGAAGATTTTGCAGAGCCGGCCATACTTATTGCTTGTCTTGGAGGCTTGGTGTAAAATGGATTTCCTCCTGTCTTTGCCTGAGCTTTTGTGCAGAACTTCATAACCTTAGTTTTCAGTTCTGATGCTTGGTTGGCAATTGCTTCGATTTCATTTGGCGAAATGCTGAGTTGTGCCATCATCTCTTCCGCTTGCGTGCAGATCTTTAAGCCGTTTTTCAACAGCTGCAATGCTTCTTTGTTATGCGGGCTGGCTTCCTTAGAGGACAAATCTTTCTGTAAATCTTCCATTGTTAACTTCGTCTCTAGAAGTCTTGTAGCTACGGGTTCTTCATCTCCAGCATCATCTTTATCTCCATCTCCATCTTTAGGTTTCTTGGAAGTTTCTTTGGAAGCAGATTTAAGGTCCTCCACCAATTTCGTAATCAGAATTTTAATGTTTAAATGGTCTCCGTTGACGGATGCTGGCTCTGTTTGGGCAACTTTTGGGATCTGCTCAGGCATTTCCCCTCCTGCAGGCATTTGCATCCCTGCAGGCATTTGTGCCATCATTGGGCCCCCTGCCATCATCATGGCTCCCTGGGCTAATCCGGGCAGCATAGTTGCAGCACAGTTACTCATAGTATTTGTGTATGTTTCTACAAATTGCATCCCAATGAGGTCCCATCCACTTGGCATAGAATCCACAGCCTTCTCCCAGCCTGCTTTCGCATCTTTTACTTGCTTTTCTAGCTTTTCTTGTTGTTCCTTTGCCAAAGCTATTTTCTTCCGGGCTGAGTCTTCTTTAGCTAAAGCAATCTTTCTTTTCATTATTACTTCTTCTTGGGTTTTTTGATAATATCCTCTAGCAGCTGAAGAGACTTCCAACAGCTCACCTGTTAGATCCATCACATGTTCAAACTTCGCTTGAACTTCTTGCGCTAAGCGTAGGCATTCTGAAGCCTTTCTATCAATCTTTCCAAGTTCTATTGGAAGAAAGTCTTTTACATCCTCCTCACTTCCTTTGACGAGAGTGTGGACAACTTTCTTCACCTGATCGGGTACTTGGGCAGAATAGAGTCGTATTGCATCCATGTTCTTGTAAAGTGAATAAATGAAAAAAATTATACAAAGTTATTAAATAAGAAATAATTTTATGAGATACTTAAAGAATTATGCATATATTGACTGTTCCACTTGTGGTTAGAATTTTTATATTCATTGCATTATTTATAATGCCTATTTTTCATGCAAATTTTTTTTAGTTTATTAAAACAAAATGTATTGAAAAATGATGATAATTAAAAATACATGTGCAGTGAGCTATTTTCACAGCGGGCTGAAAACTAAAAATAAGTTAATAACAGAAATAAAAAAGAGAAAAAGAAAGAAAGGAACTAAAGAAAAAGACGCTAATCATCTAATAAGTGGAACAGTACGGATCTGTACAGAGTAGTTTAAAGGAATATGTATACACACATACATACATACATACATACATACATTACATACATACATACATGCATATACACATGCATACATAACTTTATTTAACTTCGGATTTTAGAGTAGCCAAAGGCTAGTATCTCATTCTCTTATTGGCCAGGCTGGTTGAATCGGCCCACTTTAGTAAACTATCGTAGTCACAGTACCAGTCCTTAAGATACGTACGTCGTTTTCTAGTTTTTCCGCACCTTGTGCTTGACAGAAATGCCAAACCATAGAACAGTAAGACAAATTGTATTATGGGAGTTACACTAACATTCACATATTATTTAAAGACGTTTGGCCCATGGTTTAAAAAAATTCTACATACATTGATTGTTCAACTTGTGGTTAGATTTCAATAACGACTACATCATTTATAATGCCTATTTTTCATGCAATCTCCTTGACTAAACGCAGAAAATTGTGTGTTCTTTCGGACTAAATTATTTGTTATAATAATGAATTGAAGTACAAACATTAGCCATAAAGGACTGCAAAGGACCGCAAACGAATATGCCGAAGGACGTAGAATCTATAAAGACCTGATCAGCAAAAATAATAATGTAGACATATTAAATTTTGCAAGCATAATACTGCAATGCTGATCGTACTACGTGAAAATTAACTCTCCAAGACATCAACACGACACCGAAAGAACTCAAAAAAAGAGCGGTATTGTAGCCATAAACAGCTGTAGTACGATCAGCATTGCAGTATTCTGCTTGCAGAATCTAATGAATTGAAGTTCACATGAGATACCTCCTAATGTAGTTTGCATGACACACCTAGTTGCGAAAGGGATAAACTTACATTATTTAAAAGCACGGCTGATTAGAGATAGGACATCTCGTGGCAGAATGTTCACTGCGTGCAGACGTCTCCTATTTCCTTTGTTGCACGCGGAAAAGAGACGTCTGCTTAACGCCGTCCCTAATCGTGTTCCAGTGTCCCGCTGGATTCCCAAGATCTTGGGAACACGCTTTGATAGGCTGACACACAGTGCGCATTGTTTGACTTAACGCTGATTGGTTGTTATCGAATCTGGTCTGATAATGTATGTGGTCATTTATGTAAGCGGGGTTTTCCAGCCAAAACAAATCAAAACCAGTGCCTTTGTGCGCGGAACGTTCGAAAGCTTTTGCGAGGCCGCGGAAAATTTAACGTGTACCATGAAATTATTTCTTTACAATTAACTGTGCATGACACATCACATTATATTTGTAAACAGTGTCTGAGAAAACTGCAAAAGCGGCGTGGACTTCGTAACAACTTACGAGAACTCGACGAAGAAATTTTTCAAAGCTACAGTTTCAAAGCCTGTAAGGCAGGGCTTTCTATCAAGAAAAAGGCCGTACGGGTACATGATTAAATGCGGAAGAGTCTGTTTCTCCTGAGAAGAGAATTCTTTTAGAGGAATCGTCAGATTATTATTCGAACGTTTGTGGTTCTATTCATTCTTCAACGCCTAAGAAAAACCGGCATTAAGCTACAGGGTACAACTCAAATCTGAGGATCGCACTATCCGTGAAAATTCAACATTCTGCAAAACCACAGTTAAGAGCTAGACCCAGTGTCATACTGACATAGCAGGAACTTAATCACATTCACGGACAGAGAAAATTACATGCATGCATGTAGTTGTTCCGATCCAGGCATTTGGGAGAAAGCCAGCCGAAGAAACTAAAATCTTTATTTAGCCGTAACAAACAGAGTTCAAAGAAAATAATAAAAACACTTTACACCTGCATCTGAAATCAAATCCTATCAGGAACACCCACAGAAGCATAAACCACAGCAAATCATTACTCAGTATGCATGTATAAACAAACCTGCTTCATGACCTCTAAATATAAGACTGCGGCAAAAATGTAGTGTTAGTAACCTTCGCGCGAGAGAGAAAAGAAGAAAAACCTCTGTTCAAGCAGACTCTCAAGGTCACATTTCGTATTATCTCGAGCTTATGAGCCGTGTTTGGCCTGTCAACTCTTATTTCTAACCGGATACTATTCTGAGGATCATGTGTTGTTATTGGCATAACAAAGGAGAACAAGTTGTAAAATCCGCAGGGCCGCTTTTCCGGTAGCCTGAATTTCATCCGATTACTTCGAGTCGTTATTACTCCCTCAGTAACGTCTGAATCGAGCGGCCGTTATGCCGTCCAGTGACGTCACTACTCGTTGATCTTCGCTTTAATTCATGCAAAAATTAAAACCCGATTTTCAAAGGGCAAACCAAGAAATTTTGTTTGGAAATGTCTGCATGATACAGAACTGCTTTATTTTTTTTCGATTGTAATTCATGTTAAACGTTCAAACTATCAACTGCATGCAGTACAACTCTGAACCGGCTGTACTAAATTCTATAATCAAACTCTGTCGCAATCACGCAATAAAATAAACACACACACGGAACACTTAGTTCAAAAACACAATGATTTGCTTTAATTGAAAAGAAGCTATTTGGTCCTTAACGAAGAAAAAAAAAACAAGGAGACAAGAAAGAAAAGCTCACAGAATCATTACACTTGACGGTAAAAATTACAAGAAGGTCGAATTAGACTAAAATTATAACATTGATCTCAGAAAACTTCGCGTAAACAAAATAACCGGCCGCCGAAACCACAAAGCGGCTCTAAATGAAAAAACCACCGACTCTCCGCAATGATTCTTCGTTCGCAGTTCAATTTAGCATTTCAGTTTCGAAGACAAGGGCAATGTTGCTGTTTAAGATGAAGATTAAGCTTATCGAAATGTTTGAACTAAACGAAAGAATGCCAGGGATCTACAGGGATGCGATCCGCTGAATATCAAAGCGACAATTCCGCTTAAATTTTTCATAATTATACATAATTATGCGAATGTTTAGACAATCAACCAATGAAAATCACTACCCGGTTTTCGGGTAGTGAGTGACGTCACTGGACGGCTTTAACGGCCGGTCGATTCAGACGTTGTTTAGAGGAGAAAACGACTTGAAGCAATCGGATGAATTTCAGGCTACTTTTCCGGGGGTTAGCGAAAAAAAAGTTTATGTTAGAATTTCTTGCTGAAGAAAAGGCTACAACAACAACAACGAGCTTTACTGTATTTAAATGACTATGCAAACACATACGTTCAGTATTGCACAAGCTATGTTTAGGAGTCAAAATTACAACACAGGGCAATTACGTTACTTTGATAATAATTTGTCACGAACATCAAAACAAGCTGAATGTATATTGAAAAAGTAATTAGAAGAGTTCATCAGTTCATTGATCAAAACGTTTGTAGGTAACTGGGTCAGTAATACTTGGAATCAGAGTCTTGACTTTATTGTAAAATTTGTTCCTATAGTCATAGAGTATGTAGGACCATTGAAAAAGAAAGTGAACTTCGTCTTCTATTACATTGCATCCACAAAAAGGGCAATGCCTATTATCCTTCGTAGTTTGATTGTATCTGCCTATTTCTATCATTAGTTTGTGATTGCTTATTCGTAGTTTTAAAGAAAGTGAACTTCGTCTTCTATTACATTGCATCCACAAAAAGGGCAATGCCTATTATCCTTCGTAGTTTGATTGTATCTGCCTATTTCTATCATTAGTTTGTGATTGCTTATTCGTAGTTTTACTAAAGCCCTTCTCCCAGATGTTCCTCTTGTTAAGTCTAAGTAACTAGAGGAGGTATGATCGGTTTCAAAAGAACTATAAAATGCAAGTTTTTGAGAATATTGCAGGGTGTTTAGCCAATATTAAATATATTCCTGTTTCATTGAACTTGCATAGCTTTTTACCATCGCTATTTCTAAGAATGAGGGTTAAAGTCAGGAAGCTTAAAGTATTCTGACATATTCATAATAAATGAGAATGGAAGCTATTTTTGCCATTACAGTGTAAGTCGAATGACATTAAAAAAGCTTGTTTGACGAGAGATTCCTCATCTTTAGACTGTATAAACAAAACGAATTTGAAATTTTTTTGATTGATTGTGATATTTAAAGGAAAACGACCAAGCTGTGAAGCTTAGAAGAAGCTTAGAAGCTTAGAAGCTTTGTTGTTTACCTCCAAGTATCGTTTACAAAATTGAAGGTGTGCCTTCTCAATTTGTGAGCCGTCCCAGGTCTTAAAATCTGGTTTGGCATACACACCCCAAATTTCACTGTTTTATGTTAGAATAGGGGAGATCATAGTATAGTCGTCTCAAGCTAAAGAGGGCATGAAGAGCTTTCTCCTTGAGATGTTCACGTGACACTGAAAAATTTTCCGATGAGGACATTCGAGTTCCTAAGTAAGTGTACTCTTGTACAACATCAATTATTTGACAATCTATGCGAAAGTGAAAATCAGCATTTTTTCTCGCACGTTTCTGAAAAACCATAATTTTTGTTATCTTGGGGATGATTTTCATCATCCATGAAGTACAGAATGAAGATAGTTTATCGAGACAATTTTGTAGTACTGTCTTGGATCGTGATAAAATGGGTAATGGGTTCATGATAACCGTCACGAATATAGAGACATTAAGTGACCACTAAGCCCACTATGAGAATGTTGATGTAATTGCTGTAGTTACTGTAGTTGGTGTAGTAGCTGTAGTTGGTGTAGTAGCAGTAGTTGGTGTAGTAGCTGTAGTTGGTGTAGTAGCTGTAGTTGGTGTAGTTAGTGTAGTTGGTGTAGTAGCTGAAGTTGCCGTAGTAGCTGTAGTTGGTGTAGAAACTGTAGTAGGTGTAGTTAGTATAGTTGGTGTAGTTGGTGTAGTTGGTGTAGTAGCTGTAGTAGGTGTAGTTGGTGTAGTAGCTGTAGTTAGTGTAGTTGGTGTAGTTAGTGTAGTTGGTGTAGTTAGAGTAGTAGCTGTAGTTGATGTAGCTGCTGTAGTTGGTGTAGTAGCTCTAGTTGGTGTAGTTAGTATAGTTGCTGTAGTTGGTGTAGTAGGTGTAGTTGGTGAAGTTGATGTAGTTAGTGTAGTTGGTGTAGTTACTGTAGTTGCTGTACTTGCTGTAGCTGGTGTAGTAGCTGTAGTTGGTGTAGTAGCTGTAGTTGATGTAGTTGCTGTAGTTGCTGTAGTTGCTGTAGTTGATGTAGTTGCTGTAGTTGGTGTAGTTGGTGTAGTAGCTGTAGTTGGTGTAGTTGGTGTAGTTGGTGTAGTTAGTGTAGTTGGTGTAGTTGGTGTAGTTGGTGTAGTTGATGTAGTTGCTGTAGTTGCTGTAGTTGGTGTAGTAGCTGTAGTTGGTGTAGTTGGTGTAGTTGGTGTAGTTGGTGTAGTTGGTGTAGTTGGTGTAGTTGGTGTAGTTGGTGTAGTTGGTGTAGTTGGTGTAGTTGGTGTAGTTGGTGTAGTTGGTGTAGTTGGTGTAGTTGGTGTAGTTGGTGTAGTTGGTGTAGTTGGTGTAGTTGGTGTAGTTGGTGTAGTTGGTGTAGTTGGTGTAGTTGGTGTAGTTGGTGTAGTTGGTGTAGTTGGTGTAGTTGGTGTAGTTGGTGTAGTTGGTGTAGTTGGTGTAGTTGGTGTAGTTGGTGTAGTTGGTGTAGTTGGTGTAGTTGGTGTAGTTGGTGTAGTTGGTGTAGTTGGTGTAGTTGGTGTAGTTGGTGTAGTTGGTGTAGTTGGTGTAGTTGGTGTAGTTGGTGTAGTTGGTGTAGTTGGTGTAGTTGGTGTAGTTGGTGTAGTTGGTGTAGTTGGTGTAGTTGGTGTAGTTGGTGTAGTTGGTGTAGTTGGTGTAGTTGGTGTAGTTGGTGTAGTTGGTGTAGTTGGTGTAGTTGGTGTAGTTGGTGTAGTTGGTGTAGTTGGTGTAGTTGGTGTAGTTGGTGTAGTTGGTGTAGTTGGTGTAGTTGGTGTAGTTGGTGTAGTTGGTGTAGTTGGTGTAGTTGGTGTAGTTGGTGTAGTTGGTGTAGTTGGTGTAGTTGGTGTAGTTGGTGTAGTTGGTGTAGTTGGTGTAGTTGGTGTAGTTGGTGTAGTTAGTGTAGTAGCTGTAGTTGGTGTAGTTAGTGTAGTTGGTGTAGTAGCTGTAGTTGGTGTAGTAGCTGTAGTTGGTGTAGTTGCTGTAGTCGCTGTAGTTGCTGTAGTTGCTGTAGTTAGTGTACTTAGTGTAGTTGGTGTAGTTAGTGTAGTTGGTGTAGTATGTGTAGTATGTGTAGTTAGTGTAGTTAGTGTAGGATGTGTAGTTGGTGTAGTATATGTAGTTGGCGTAGTATGTGTAGTTGGTGTAGTATATGTAGTTGGTGCAGTTGCTGCAGCTGGGGTAGTTAGTGTAGTTCGTTTAGTTACTCTTTAGTGTAGTATGTGTAGTTGGTGTAGTATATGTAGTTGGTTTAGTATATGTAATTGGTGTAGTATGTGCAGTTGGTGTAGTTTGTGTAGTTGGTGTATTTAGTGTAGTTGTTACCCAAAACTACACCAAACTACACCACCTACGTTAAACTTAACCAACTACACAACACCACACGAAACAACACCTACTAAACCAAACTACACCAAACTACACCAACTACACAAAACTACACCAACTACAAAAAACTATACCAAACTACACCAAACTACACCTACTACACCAAAATACACCAAACAAAACCAACTACACAAAACCACACCAACTACACAAAACTACACCAAACTTCACGAAACTACACCTACTACACCAAACCACACCAACTACACAAAACTACGCCAACCTACAACAAACTACACTTACTACACCAAACTACACCAACTACACAAAACTACACCAAACTACATCAACTACACAAAACTACACCAAACGAAACCTACTAAACCAAACCACACCAAATTGCACCAACTACACAAAACTACACCAAACTACACTAAACTACACCTACGATACCAAACTCACCAAACTACACCAACTACACAAAACTACACCAAACTACATCAGCTATACAAAACTACACCAAACTAAACCTACTAAACCAAACTACACCAAATTACACCAACTACACAAAACTACACCAAACTACACCAACTACACCAAACTACACCCACTACACATAACTACACTAGCTACACCAACCACACCAACTACAGCAACTACACAAACTACAGCTACTACACCAACTACACTAACTGCACCAACTAAACTAACTACACCAACTACACAATCTACAGCAACTACAGCAACTACAGCAACTACACCAACTACAGCTACTACACCAACTACACTAACTACACTAACTACACCAACTACACCAACTACAGCTACTAAAGCAACTACACCAACTACACTAACTACCCCAACCACACTAACTACAGCAGCTACACCAACTACAGCAACTACACTAACTACAGGAACTTCAATAACTACACCAACTACTGCTTCTACACCAACTACAACAACTACACTAACAACACCAACTACAGCTAATACACCAACTACAGCTACTACACCAGCTACACCAACTACAGTATCTACACCAACTACACTAGCTACATCAACTACACCAACTACAGCAACTACACTAACTACACCAACTACAGCTACTACACCAACTAAAGCAACTACACTAACTACACCAACTACAGCTACTACAGCAACTACAGCAACTACAGCAACTACACCAACTACAGCTACTACACCAACTACAGCTACTACACTAACTACACCAACTACACTATTTACAGCAACTACACCAACTACAGCTACTACACCAACTACACCTACTACAGCTACTACACCAACTACTCCAACTACACTAACTACACCCACTACAACTGCTACACCAACTACAGCTAGTACACCAGCTGCAGTAACTTCAGCTACTACACCAACTACACCAACTACACTAACTACACCAACTACAGATACTACACCAGCTACAGCTACTACACCAGCTACATTAACTACACTAACTACAGCAACTACAGCAACTACAGCAACTACACAAACTACAGCTACTACACCAACTACAGTAACTACAGCTACTACACCAACTACAGCAACTACAGCTACTATACCAACTACACTAACTACACCAACTAGAGCTACTACACCAACTACAGTAACTACAGCAATTACATCAACATTCTCATAGTGGGCTTAGTGGTCACTTAATGTCTCTATATTCGTGACGGTTATCATGAACCCATTACCAAAAAATGATTAAATCGTCTGCATATAATAAAGAATTTAGTTTTTCACCGTTTGGTAAAACAAAAGGATCAGATAATGTATTTTCAAATTCGAAAGGTAGGTCGTTAATATAAAGATTAAAAAGCAGTGGACTTAAGATACAGCCTTGCCGCACACCTCTCGCAAAACGGAATGATCGCGTTTGTTTTTGGGCAATTTTGATTGAGCAGGAAGAGTTGTGAAATAAGCTTTTAATTAAGTTATCAAAAGAACCACCAACATCAATTTGCAGCAGCTTATTCAAGAGCCCGTCATGCCAGACCGAGTCAAAAGCTTTTTTGAAATCTACAAAACAAGCATAGATCTTTTTGTTGTGATTATGAACATACTTATCTATCAAGGTTCGGAGAGTGAAGACGTGGGTTATTCGGTAAAAAGCCAATTTGAGATTTGTGGAGTATATTCAAAGAAACTATATACTCGAGAAGTCGTTGGTTTAAGATAGAACAAAACAGTTTTCCCAGGCAGCTGGAGACACAGATACCCCGGTAGTTTGCCGGAGCGCTTCGTCCCCCCGATTTATAAATGGGAGTAATAAGACCACTACACCAAGTCTGTGGCATGGTCCCTTGGTTAAGAATTGAATTAAATAATTTTTCATACAAGGGCATCAATGTATCAACACTAGCTTTTATCATTTCATTTCTAATTTTATCCGCAGCTTTACGTATTTCTCTTTCAATTATCATGAAATCTAAAGGACGAGAGTGTTGACCATTCATTTTGTCGTAGCTCATTGCAAATGTTTTGCTGCGTTGGGTTAAGATGTTCTTTTGAATGAAGATTGTGGAAATGTTGTAGCCAATTTTCCTCCGAGATTGATGGAACATCCTCTCCGTTTCTAGTGTCGTCCATCGATTTGAGGCATTGCCAGAAAGTTTACGCGCCTGAATTGTATGCAGTTTTATCTAGCTCAGAAATCTTGGCTTTGTAATAATCATTCTTTTAAGAATTACGTAATTTCTTGTATTGGGTCAGAGCCATGGTATTACTCACGTATGATAGTATTCAAAGGGTCTTGATGTTTCTTGTTTGCTAGTTTTCGTAATTCATGCCTTTTCAAACGACATTCTTTATCGAACCGTTTTTTGTTTGATAATGATTTGATACGCCTACGCGTTTTACCTGCTCTTATCTTTAAACAACACTTAGCCGTTGTGATGTTTTCCACCTTTTCGAGGGATAGCTCAGTATTTTCTTCGAATGTGTCGCCAGAAATGTAATCGCGTATTGGTGTTTGTATACGAGGAGACCTCAGAGCATCCTTGAATTTTTGAGCGGAGTCGTTTTCCAACAGAAATTGTTTCGGTAAACGCGTTAAAGTATCTCCTTCAAGTATGGTGTGATTACAACTCTTCTTTTTGTTAATGTTCAGCCAAGTAGTAATAGAGCTATGGTCTGACAAATGCAGTTGATCTTTGACTACAAAATTTGCAACGTGTGACAAAAGATCCTGGTCACATACTGCTTAGTCAACTACACTCACTCCGTTTTTGCCATGAAACGTTACTCTTCCTAGGGAATCACCACTGACTCTTCCGTTTAGAATCCTAAGGTCTGCACTTATTTTACAAATTTCAAGGAGCCTTTTACCGTGACTGTTTAATTCGTTATCAAAACTATTTTTCTGGGTTAAGCAGAGAGAGAATTCTGTTTGTAATGAGGTTATTTCCCCTCTTTACAAACGCTGTCGGAGTACTTTCCTGTTCTAGCGTTCAGGTCACCCATAAAGGAGTTCTAGAGCTTGTAGACTGGGTACGAATTAGATCACGTGTGCATACGGGAATGTAAGCTTAGGCAACGTGGTTCATTGACTGCTGTGCCCTGACTTAGTGTCAGCGTGTTCGCCCTTGAAGTTGGTTTTATCAACAAAGACAATTGTTACTTTTTCGTATTTATGGAAGTTACTAGAACTCGGCTGTGACTCGATTAATACATTCGGTGCCGCTTCGCTCATTCAGGGTTAAAATAAATTTATTTGCTTTCCCAAGAGAAGAAGCTGATCTCTGAGTCTGATAAGAGAAATGACAATCACTGTAAAACTGTGATGACTACAGAGTTCCAATCGAAAGGAGTTTGCTATAGAAAACTATAGAAAACTGATTGGCTATCGCTCGAGTGTCATTCTCGATTGACGCCACAACTCTCGCTTTCCCCATATCTCCATTATGCAGTCGTGAACCAACGGAGATCTATTTCAAAAGCACTCAGAAAATCCTGGATATAACGCAGTCAAAAACATTTTGGACAGAAATACTCAACTTAATGCGACAAATTTGTTTTAGGCAAATAATTTTTGAAGGTAAGGGGCATTTTAAACAAAACGCTCCTTTTTTATAAGAACAATTAAAGGAGCAGAGAGAGAGTACCTTTTCAACTTCAGTTTCTTACCTTGTGGGCTTCGTTGAAAGCTCTCCATCCAGTATTGCTCACTTGCACCAAGCAGGCTCTAAATGATTCGGGATGCTCAATAAATTGGAAGCCTTTCTCAGGCCTTTGGTGTTCCAATGAGAAGTCCTTTTCCCCTGCCACCAGCATTAGTTGTCCCAGAAGAGCGATGGATAGTGGTGCAGGAGTCAAGAACTCTGCCCAGTTCATACTGGGAGACATCATCAACAAAGCTGTTTCATTTTTGTCATCTCCCGAGTTTGCGTTTATCATTGCTTTGTTAAGACTGGCTAAAGCATTGGCATTTGGCTCCTCCGCCATTCTTATCTGAGAACAAATTTACAAACAACTAATGAGAACTATGCGATTATTTGACAATAAAGCAATGTTCTAAGTATGCGTCTATGCAGATTGTTTTATTCCACGGTACTTGTGCACGAAAATTGTCTGTTTTCCACCCTTAATGTCAGTTTAAAACAGGGGAGCACTTATCAAAAGTACATCATGCATGCCCGTTCATAAGTTCCACGCGCACCAAAAGTGAACACTAACACGATTAACACCTGTGAACACCTATAACCTGGGATTAACACCTGTAACACCTCTTGAACCCTGAAAAATGCAAGGCCCTGGTTCTCTCGCGAAAACCCAATGTCAAGCTATCACTATTTGCTGAAGGTGTTACATTATCACTACTTGATACAGTAGATCTATTTGGGCCTTTAAACAATGGACAATTCCCTGGATTTTGGAAAACACATTGCGAAAATTAGCAAGAAAGTTGGAAAGTAACTAGATGTTCTTTGTAGACCAAAGAATATATTATCGTTTCGGACCAAACTCTGCCTTTATAATTCGTTCATAATGTCTCATTTTCATTACTGTTCCTCCATATGGCATCACTGTTTAAGTCTGATAGTAAAAAACTGGATAGGTTGCATGAACGAGCACGTCGTTACTTGTACAGTGACGAGTCTTCACAAACTAGCACTCTTTGTGATCGTATTGGTTACAGCCTCGTGGATCGACGTACCCAGAACTTGTTAATTATTGTATTTAAGACCATTAACAATTATCCACCTGGATATCTGAGAGACCTATTTAGGTTAAGAGACAACATCAAAAACCAGAGAGGTGTTAACAAGCTGCAAGTACCGAAACCTAATACGACTCGTTATGGCAAGAACTCAGTTAAGTACTTGGCGGCTATTACTTGGAACACGATTTCTGATACCCTAAGATCCCTTGAAGCACATTGTCAGCCTTTAAAAAAGCAGTCCGACAGCTAAGGTTTTAGCTAATTCTATATAATATCTATGTTCTATTGAGGGCTTTTTATTGTAAATAGGCATGTCACGTAATTTTTAGGCTTTATACTGTAAATAAGTTTTTGGATTTCCCTTTCTTTCTCTATTATTTTATTAATATCATAGGTGACGAATTACTCCTTAATTTTGGCGCGAAATTTCAGCGTTAATTTGTAATTTCACATGTGAAATTACAAAATTGCCATGGCAACCCTTCCGTACGTCTCAGTGTCAAGATGGTGACGAAGTTTTAAAATGCCGTGAATGAAGATGTCAGGGCACAAAAAGACGCTTTAGAAAACCTGAACACACAAGAGAACATCAAGAAGGATTCTAACAGGTATTCTTCCGAAAAAGTCTGAAAAATTCTGGACTTTATAACCCAAATTTAAGGTCTAAACATTTGAGAGATTGGAGTTCACGATCGATACGATCCAGGAAAAACATGTCAAACACCCAAGATTGCTAACGTAATTCGTCACCCATGATATTAATAGGTAATCAAATGGTAAACTCGTGAAATTAGGGAATAATTTCACTCGTCACCATTTGATTACACATACTTATTTGTTTGATCTTCTTTGCTTTTTTTTTCCTCGGCTTAGTAGCATATTTTTGCTAGAGGTGTAACCAACCTCATCAAACCCGAGATTAAATACATTTGAAGCTTCATTCATTCATTCATTCTCCAAATATTTTTAAATTTATTCAGAAATAAGTTGTTTGTATTTTTTTTCAACTTTGTTCGTTATTTATTGTAAAAACAGACAAGTTTACGGAGATCAAAGAAATATTTGATAACTTTTGCTGCAAACATTGAAAAATGCGCAGAAACGTACACATGTATGAGAATTTTACGAAAGCTATCTGAGATTAGTTTCAGGAAATTTGGTTCAAAGGCAATTCACTGTAAATTCAAATGCATTCATGATAGTTTGACTCAAGAGAAAAAGCAAACTTCGTTTGGTCAATGAATTGTTGATGAACACAGTGAACACAGTGCAAGATCTATTCAGTAAAGAAGGAGTGTGACATCCTACATACGATTTTTCCGCGGCCATCTCAGGTATCAACTGCAGGCATGGATTAGGACAAAAGGGTTTCTTGTTTTGCAAGTTTTATGACATCGCGAGTATTTTCTTAATAAAATTTTATATCCAGATTAATAAAGGATCGTACGTCGCTTGACGTCAAACAGCTTTCGTTTTCTTCAGCCTTCCAGATAAACACGAATATACTCGAAAACCGACACTCAAAGTTGGACTGAACCGCAAAACCGCCAGAGTATAATACACCCTCATCGAAGAGGATGACAAAGAAATGATCAAGAAAACAATCAAGTTAAACGGCTTCCAAAGCCGACAATAATTCATTGAAAAAATCTTTTTCCTGTTCGCGGCTCCTTTCCTAAATTTCCCACCGGCTTGCACTCATAAGCCGGCTGGTTAAATTTCCTCCCGAGTAACCCTTCTTCTTGATTGTGAAGACCTAGTTACCCACCGCGCGGTGAAGCGGGCCAGTCTAAATAGCTGAAACATTTCTCCTTCAACTTGCTTTGATTCCTTTGGCCCGATTTGCTGACAAAAAAGAACACGGTCTCCTTGTTATTTTTCTGACGGCATTGGAACAATCGACAGGAAGAAAATGCGAACAAACTTTTCAAATATCGTCAACAATATCGATAGTCAATTTGAGAAAATCAATCAAAAAGATATTCTTGCTCAATCACCTATCCACAAAAATAACATTTAAGGATTTTTCTGTTCTTGGCAGATTAAAACCTCTTTGGATATATATCAATCGGATTTTTAAAAAATATATCGCAAATACTTGCGCACAACTGAAAATGGTGTTACGTTTGGATTACTCCTCCAGCAGTACGGAAGGTTACTATTACGATAAACCGACAGAATTGATTTTTTAAAAAATCGGCAACAACATTCATAAAACAAAAAGCCACATTTTGTAATAACTTAACTGAATTCGTGCTGACACGACAATGACAACATCCTTGCTAGGAACCAATAGGGTGTATTTGTGCGTTCTTCGCAAAACCTTTAAGCAAACTGTTACACAGAATAAACTTAAGACGACACTAAAGGAGGGAAGTCAAGCAAATCAATTCCTGAAACCTCATACTACATTCAGAAACGATCTGACATATAGATTCCTCTAAGTTCAAAATTCAACCAGGCTACCTAGAAATTTATAGAATTAAACTAAACTCCAAGGCGTAACCTTTGTGGCTGCCAAAAGATTGTCTATTACAAACTGAAACGCTAAGTAACTCTTTTCCTTTCGTTCTCAAAAATCATGAAAACAAACTAGCACCCAAATACTGAGTTACTGACGACAGTAACTGACTCACTAAAGAGAGAACTAAAGCTACAAACCTTTCACAGAAGTTTTCTTGAGGTAATTTCTTCAGCTGAACTGCGATGAAATGCTAAAATTCCTTATGGACAACTCTTTAAGACCATGCCGCGACAATTACTTCTTCAACACTTCACTTCATCAGCCAATGATTGATCACATTGAAGCGGAAAAAAACAACCAACTTCAAAATATCATTCAATTCCATTGGTTCCACCCCAGTCTGGCTCCACCCCATGAAGGAAAATTATGACTCACGGAAAAATGCATCTAACAATCCAAGAGGATGTTATTTTGTGCTTAAAACTTCCTGTGTAAACTGTTGAGCAACGAATAATGATTTGATTTATGTAGCATTTTCACTAGTGAACAATTTCTTTTTTAGTAGAATAGAATCTTTCAATAAAGAAGATACATTTAGTGGCATAATTCAATCATTGACTTAATCTAGCATAAGTTGGTGAACGTCTGTGAACAGATTTATATCAGTAAACTGTGTATTTGTTAAAAGATTCCGATACACTAAATAACTTTTGTAATTTTGTTACAAAAAATTGCATTTATTGCATTGAAAAAAGTAAGATTGTCGGTGATTTTCCAACTATGACCTACAGCATTTTAATATATTGCAACACTGAACAGGTTAGTAATTAAAGATACTGAGAGAGAGCGCAAGCATTTTTTCCGCTTATAAACTGGAAGTATTTTCTTCATTAAACAAGTTATTTAGTGTATCGGAATCTTTTAACAAATTGGATACACTTATTGATATAAATCGCTGAATCACTGACATAATTCACTGAATCCAGCGAAAATAGTATGTGGCTGGTTGAAGGTGCACAATAACTTACATTGTCAAGTTATTTATAAGTTGAACAAACAATATGTTCGATGAACTCTGAACTTACACAATTTTCCAACTGCGAGCTACAGCATTAATTTTAATATATTGCAACATTGAATAGGTTAGTAATTAAATATACTGAGATAAGCGCAAGCATTTTTTCCGCTTATAAACTGGAAGTGTTTTCTTCATTAAACAAGTTATTTAGTGTATCGGAATCTTTTAACAAATTGGATACACTTATTGATATAAATCGCTGAATCACTGACATAATTCACTGAATCCAGCGAAAATAGTATGTGGCTGGGTGAAGGTACACAATAACTTACATTATCAAGTTATTTATAAGTTGAACGAACAATGTGTTCGATGAACTCTGAGCTTACACAATTTTCCAACTGCGAGCTACAGCATTAATTCTAATATATTGCAACATTGAATAGGTTAGTTATTAAACATACTGAGAGAGAGCGCAAGCATTTTTTCCGCTTATGAACTGGAAGTATTTTCTCATTAAACGAGTTATTTAGTGTATCGGAATCTTTTAACAAATTGGATATACTTATTGATATAAATCGCTGAATCACTGACATAATTCACTGAATCCAGCGAAAATAGTATGTGGCTGGCTGAAGGTGTACAATAACTTACATTGTCAAGTTATTTATAAGTTGAACAAACAATGTGTTCGATGAACTCTGATCTTACACACCCCACGTAGGTGCACGTACTTCACTAATATTGAATGATAAACGAATGTTCAGAGGTTTTTGCACGCGGATTGTATTTCCTCAATTGTTAGGTCTGGCTAACGAAGTCGAAACGAAATTTCCAAAGAGGTCCGCTATGAATTTCATAATTCTGGTCGGGGCTACCGCAGCAGTTTTTCAAGTGGGGAAAAAATTAAGGGCTGCATGATACAGATAACTTGATGATTTGCGTATACCGGTATACGTCCTCACTGACGTCCTTATTGAACGAAAACTGATACAAGAACAAGAAAGAATAAAGAAAGAATAGTTGCAATTTTATGCCATTTCCCAGGCTTTATGCAGCGGTTCCATAGAGTGCAGGTGATAAAAACTTTAATCACCTCAGCTCTATGGTTTTGGTAACTCACTCTCACGCTAAAAATATACTCATGAAATCGCCGACAGTTTATAGCACAAAGATTGCCGAACAAATAGCACGAAAAAGGCACCTCTGCCGCGTCATTTATTATATGTTCTGCATCTGCATCTGTGAGAGTCCTGGCAAGTCATCACAGTATCAGTCTGCTACCAGAAAACATGATGGATACAGATTTCAGCTCCACGGTTGTAGCGCGTGATGCTTTGTCCCTGAATGACCCCGAAGAAGCTCCATTTGCTTCTAATGAAGATGTTGCTCTAAATCCTACTGGACGAGCATCCTCCGATGTCGGAGTCAGGAGGCGACTATATCGCGTGCTAAGAAACCATTCATTAAATTTCTTTTATGGGAACCTGATGAGCGGAGAAGAGTGGGCCGCCCCAAAATTACCCTAAAGAAAATCTTGGAAGATGATACTGGTTTAACTAAGTAAGCAAGTAAGAAAGTAAGTTTGCATCTTTTACTTATACAATAATTACCCCGACTCTATTACTGTCCCTTTTCTGGCCGTTAGTGTAAAGTAAATCCTTAGTCTGGTATTAAAAACACGTATTTATTGAAGAACTTAAAGAATTTTGTTGTTGATTATTTTGCAAAAAAGTGTGGACGGAGGGGCTCCCCCTCTGTGGGCCCTGCTAGTAAAGTAGGCTACCTTTGAAAAAAAATTAATTGGTCGGACAGTCGGACAATAGTGTGGTTTTTAAACAAAGAGTGCGTTGATGAATCATTACTCACTCAAATGAAATATTTCGTGCTGTAAGCCTAGGTGGTCTTTTCAAAGATAAATGACCTTTATTTTTTTTTCCGTTTTGAAATCACACCCTTGTTGGTTGCATGACAATTTACACAGGAAGTTTTAAGATAAATTAACATTCGCTTAAATTGATGGATGTATTTTTAGGTGAGTCATTTTTTGCTTTATGAATTGAAGCCAGTGGAATTGAATCTTTTGAAGTTGGTTGTTTTTTTTCCGCTTTAATGTAATCAATGATTGGATGATGAAGTGAAGTGTTAAAGTAGTAATTGTCACGGGCGGAGTTTTCAATGGCCAATTTTAGTATTTATTTGCAGTTCAGCTAAAGGAATCTTGAACCTCGAGCAGACTTCTGTAAAAGGTTTGTGCCTTTTATTTTCCCTAAAGTATGTCATTTTCGTCACTGTTTTAATGGCTTTTAGTTTGTTTTTAGTTTGTAAGGTTTTTTAAGAGAGTAAAAGAGTCACTCAGGGAGGGTTTCAGTTTGTAATCGACCATATTACGTCTCACGGCAGGGGCACCCAAGGGGAATATAGTTCAAAACCACTTAAACATAGCATTGTTAAAAGTATTTTAGTATTTAAACGGTAGATATAGGCATATTTTTATACCCCCAAAATTTTTCATCTGTTCGGATTTCCTAGTTGAAAGTCTAGTGATCCGAAAATTATAGGGATCAAAACTTACCTTTTCGAAAATTCCAGTCAGAAAAAAGGCTCCCGAAAATTCTAGGTGACCTTTTTAGGGTAAAAATCCGTTAAAAATAGGCAGTTATACCATTTTTTAGATGTTCGAAAAACCTAGGAGAGGCAGGCAAGCAAGAAATTTTACAACAAATGTTCCGAAAATTCTAGATCTCAAATCGTCTTCCGAACAGATATTTTCCGAAAATTGTCGTTGGGTGCCCCTATCACGGCTGCGTTGTTTGAATTTTCGGAGGGTATAACTTCCTGGGCAGCTAGGTTGAATTTTGAATAAGTATTAAAACGAATCCACTGTTCGTCTTTTCTAATAGATGTGTGAGAGTAATTGAAACAACTTGAAGTAGAAACCGTTCGGCAATTTACTGAGACAAGCGCGGGGTATCAAGGTCTTCTTTACAGTGAAAAAGAATGGTTCAAGCCGTTCAATTAACCTTTTCTTAGTCGGTAGCTTTTTTACATTCCGTTTGGTGGTTCAGTTTCTGATAATTTTCAAGATTTACTGAGGCCTTATATGAAAATTCACGTAGTCTGCGATGGTCGATATTGGAACTGAAACAAATGCAATGCAACCTTTCGGCAAAAACGAATTATAATATTCTCTATAATTATAACTAAGTGAGTGACAAATTTCTCTAAACGTCATTTTTCCTTTCTAAGCGAAGTCAGAGCTAGACTCAAACTTGGTTCAAATTTAGGCAGTGTATACATTCGAACCAATCTAATGAAACCTCGGTATGCTAGTGCCTGGTTTTGCAAACAGGAATATATCTCATTTTGGCAAAACACCCTTCAACATTCTCAAAAACTTGAATTTTATAGATCTTTTAAAACCGATCATACCTCCTCTAGTTACTTAGACTTAACGAGAGGAACAGTTGGGAGCTAGAAGGGCTTTAGTAAAACTACGAATAAGTAATCAGAAACTAGTGATAGAAATAGGCAGATACAATCAAACTACGAAGGATAATAGGCATTGCCCTTTTTGTGGATGCAATGTAATAGAAGACGAAGTTCACTTTCTTTTTCAATGTCCTACATACTCTATGATTAGGAAAACTTTTTCCTATAAAGTCAAGACTCTGATTCTAAATATTACCCAGTTACCTATAAACGGTTTGATCAATGGACTGATGAACTCTTCTAATTACTTTATTAATATACAATTCATGAAATATTTTTCAGCTTGTTTTGATGTTCATGACAAATTATTATCAAAGTAAGGTAATTGCCCTGTGTTGTAATTTGGATTCCTAAGCATAACTTTTGCAATACTGTATGTGTAAGCTCGTTGTTGTTTCTTGTTTCTTGCGCCCATGGGTTTTAGACCCAAAATTAGAGCCTACGAAACCAGTTTACCGAAAGTTATAACAGAAAGAATAGCTCTCTCTTAACTTTTGCAGAATTGAATGGTGATTACTAATAAAAGCTGATCCAAAGAGTGAAGATATCCGGTACTGCTGTCTGTCCAAAGATGTCGTATGAAGATTATGGTAAGTCAGCTGCAAGGAGTTTTAACAGCCAAGGAACCAAAAGGCGGATCCTTCTGATTTTTCCATTGTACACCATCCCGATTTTTAAACGACTGACTGTTTTTCACTTTTAGAACTCAGTAAGAGCTAGTGAAGATCGAACGAATTTTTCATGCAATAGATTTGATAGGTAATCATCAATTTTTTCGACATCCGCAAAATTTGAAATGAATGATCTAATGTGTTTTGCAAGCAAGATGAAAAACCTTCAAGTTGGTCATTTTACTTATAATAGTAATGGTTTTCTTAACTGTAATTAAACTGCAGAATCAAGTTGACGAACTTTGAAAAATCGTTTGATATGAAGTTTAACATGCACTACTGCAAAATATGTAGTCTGTACACTGTCGAACATCGTATCAAGAGATTTAAAAAAATATATTCATCGACAGTCTAAACATGCCTAAGCCATTGCGAGTTTACGGGCTTTCTTTACAGAAAGAAAAACATCGTAGAAGACTTTAGAAGTAAAGCTAGCTGTTTAAAATTAAATCGGATTGTGAGCCCTTAGAAAATTAAGACAAGCCACATAATCGAGATTGTGCGGTGTAACTTCTCCGTCCATCCCAACAACGCTTTGTATTTAATGGCACAGTGAACCTGCATATTGGGGGCAATTTGCAATTTGTTCACAAAATTACGTACAGGCCAATCTTTATTTTACGATTGATTTGCCAATTTATAAACTTCAACCTATACTTATAAATAAGCCAATTCTGAGCGTGTAAGCCGGCTATTGTGCTAGCAGCTATATAGACGAAGAAGCGTTCTCGTTGTTCTTCAATTTTTTTTCCATATGCTGTTCGAAGTAATATATTTGCGATATACGTGCAAAGTCAAATATACAGAGATGACTTTATCAAGCCTTAAAATGGATCGGTGTACTGTTTTCTGTCACTGAATTAACTGTTAAGTATTTTTAAACTTTTGCGCTCAAGTAATTGATTTAACATTGCAGGTAAAACGACTTTGTCCCACCAACATCCGCTGATCTGTCTGCAGAATAGTACACGACGCCACAGTTGGATATGTGATTTTTGTTCAAGGGCAAGCGAGGACCTGATCAGGGAAACATACTCCTACCGCTGCGAAGAATGTGACTTTGACTTATGTTTTGACTGTGTTCAACCAAGGCAACATCCTGCTCATTATCATGCTCTTGAAGTGACAGAGAGGGCCTATAATATCCTCCATAGCTGGTTTTGTGACATTTGCGGATGCCCAAACAAACCTGATGAAACGTAAGTTCCTGAAAATGACACCATTTGAACTGATCATTGTGTTCTTTCATGTATTATTTTAAGAACACACACAAAGAATCGTCCAGGTGAGGGTACAGGGGCACCCAACGTCAACTTTCGGAAAATATCTGCTCGGAAGACGATTTGAGATCTAGAATTTTCGGAATATTTGTTGTAAAATTTCTTGTTTGCCTGCCTCTCCTAGGATTTTCGAAGATCTAAAAAATGGTACAATTGCCAATTTTTAACAGATTTTTACCCCAAAAAAGTCACCTTAAATTTTCGGGAGCCTCTTTTCTGGCTGAAATTTTCGAAAAGGTGAGTTTTGATCCTTAAAATTTTCGGATCACTAGACTTTCAACTAGGAAATCCGAACAGATAACAAAATTTTTAGGGGATAAAAATATGCCTATATTTACTGTTTAAATACTAAAATACGTTTAACAATACTATGTTTAAGTGGTTTTGAACTATATTCTCGTTGGGTGCCCCTGAGGGTAGTGCTGGAAAAGGGTGTTGTTAGTGACGGATTTGTTGACACGAGTGGAAGTCAGTCCAGTCAATGTTGTTATCAGTCTGTGGTGCTAGAAACCGATTGATCAGGTTATCCGATGATGTTATTGGCTGTTGGGACTGGTATACAGTTTGTCAACAGCACGTATTAGATCTATATTGCTGTTGTAATTTTTGATCTGCAAAGCTGCGCCGTCCTGTTTGAAGTACAAGTTTTATTCAACTATTCGCCAACCTGCATCAGGTAATACAAATGCTGCTCGCCATCAAATATTAACGGTGCCATAAGAAATGAAGGCCAGCTACCTGAGGGACCTGATGTAGCTCTATGAGTATGGAAAAGAACTTGTTCCTTTGTTATATGGTGGATATTTAACTTGCTCGTTCTACTTATGGTGGCGCTGGTCGAGGGTGAACCGGGTTAGCCATGATTCATTTTGATGCTTAATATTTACTTTACAGGTTATCACGTCATTGTAAAGAATGTGATTTTGATGCTTGTCGTGTTTGTTTTCATCGTCACACCATCGCGCTACACCAGCACCCACTGTTCAGAGTTGACTCGCATTATATCTATCCACATACAAAGGGTGGCTGGCGTTGTAACAACTGTAAGTCTCGTCACCACGACCCAGCTGACAACTGGCCATGGCATTGCCACGAATGTAATTATGATCTTTGTGACAACTGCATTGGTGCCACGCTCGCAGTCAATACAGGTGATCAAGCATGTGACTTGACCACAAATTAATACTTTTTGTCATCGACGTGTTGCCATTTTTTGATTCTCAGGTCACTTAAGGCTTGTATGCATATTTTGATAAAATGCTATTTAGAATGTTTGCTTCTATCAATGATCCCGAAAATTGAACTACAAATGCAGCTTAATGGCCTTTAAGTTAGCAATATGAGACATTTGAGAAGCGCAAATTTTCGCCACGTGACTGATAATTGAGAATTAACGGTCAAAAGTTTAAAATAGGGAAAGGATAATGAAAGAGCAACACGTTCTTAAGTTTAGGTACATTTCAGAAGCTATCACGGTGGTCGGTTTCTAGGGCTTTTCCTACCGTACCTCTCAAAACTGAAAGTTTTAGGCCAGGAAAGTAGGTTGACAAATTACCTGTTAATTGATTTTTATTTTATCCCATGTGACTGCTATTGTGACGTCAGAAATGATGTCTTATCTCAATCGAATAAAAAGGCGTAAAGTTACAGCTAATTAAAGAAATTCACATTTCCCGCCAAATGACCATATATGGTCAAAATTAGGGGTTTTTTAAACGCGAGAAAAATGAATGTATTGGCACAGGGGCAAATCATAAGGTTATGATTTACGTGTACTTGGTATATCGTGCACCAGCCGATAAATTAACCAAGGCACAAAATAACATAATAATCTTGTTAAAGATTGTTATGTAAACCTGACTTTTGCTTTATCTTTGTCTTTTCATAAACTGCACGTGCGGAGTATGCACGTTTACCAAAACCTAGTTTTGTACGTGCAAATCGAGCAAGATTTTACGTATCCTGTTGGCAGGATGGCGAGCAAACCTTTTTTCAAGTACAAACCCTCTAAACAAATAACCTGCCTTCAAAATAATGTTATCGTAACTAGCCGAAAGCGACGCAGTTTGCGCGTAACTCAGAAACTCAAGCGCCATTTTGATGCAAGAATTTTCTCCCTACCCCAGATGGTATTTCATCGTCCAGAAAACAAAATTTATTTGAGGACCTACCCCTGCTTCGCAATTTATTGACACACATTTCCACTTGACCAGCCGCAACCTGGGTTCTTTCTCGAAGCAAGAGAGAGAACTCTGGGAACGAGGTTGGTCATAATGATGTATTTCGTGACGAAAAACGCGTCATAGCACCACATGCCCTAAGTAAAAAAAAAGTACAATTTTGATTTTATGCAATTTTGTCCTTCCTCATGTGCCAAAACATTCATTTTTCTCGCGTTTAAAATACCCCTAATTTTGACCATATATGGTCATTTGACGGTAAATTTAATTTTCTTAAATTAGCTGTAACTTCACGCCATTTTATTCGATTGAGATGGGGCCTTCACAATATATATTCTTTTTGTGTAGCAAAAATGTCTGTAACGTTTTAAACACTGCTTTTCAAATTTTCAATGTTGTTACTAAAAATAGGTGTCACTTATGACGTCATACTTTCAAGAAACGTCAAAAATAGCTTTACAATGGTAAATATTTAACGAAATTTTTTCTCTAATTAAGATGTTCTAATGTGTTGCTTCATTTGGAATATAAACTACTCCGCTGTGAGCCAAATATTGAATTTAAGTTGCGGGAGGAAAAGCCCTAACAACCGACCATCGTGTATTAAAAAAATTCTGAAAAATTCAGAATGTGTGTTTACGTTGTATAGGAATCAGTGAATAAAGGGAAAAGGGTTACGTGACTTATTAATTGGTTAAATAGCTAATAGGATAAATACTATTTCCAATCATACACGGCAGATTTGAGATTTACACTGTCAGTATGTAACATTTTGGTAGTGAAAATTCCTAAGATAAAGGTTTGCAACCCTTGGAAAACGTTGTTTGTCACGTTATTGACGAAGTAATGTCACGTGTTATTTGTAATCACGTTTCAAGTGTGTTTTTTTCGTTGAGCCACATTTGTAGTTCACTTTTCAGGATCACCGATGGAAGCAAACCGTTCTGAACGACATTTATCAAATTATGCATATTAAATTACGTAGTCATGCCTCAAGTGGCCTGAGTTTGCATTTTCTTCTATGCTATGTCTTAAGAATTCAAATACCACATGTTTTCTTTTGTCACTGCACCATGTTAATTTACCTAGTGTATGTTGTACATGTTGTGGTTTAAATTTATCTTTGGCTTAATATTTTTCAACCTAGTTTGATTTTCATTTTTTCATTATCATACTCTAAAACGAAGGGAAATAAAAATCAAACAGGCTTGAAAACATTGAAACCAGAGATAGATTAAACTATAACATAGATATTTCGCAGAACTTTACCTTTACTTCACTTCGTGTCAAGTTTCGGCTCGCTGAACCTTCGTATTTTTTTAGCAATTAAGGGGGGTGGCTTTTCAGTGTTGTTGTTCTTCCCTTTTTCTTGTCACTTTTGATGTAGGTTTTTTTGGTTTAATTAGCCTATAACCTTTTTTGTTAGAAATTTACATTCTTCGTTCTTCAAAAGGGAAATTTGATTGTTGGATTGTGACCGATTGTTGCTGTGTGTGATAGGTGGTCCTTAGCTTTGCGATATCAGGACAGTTCCAAATACAAAAGGCAAAATTGTGTTAATGTAAAGAAAAGATTAGGAGTGAGATAAACCCCCCATTTTCGGAGCCGTTATTGTCCTAGTAATCAAGGAGTGGATTTTGTAGTCCCACCTACCTATGCAAATTAGGTTCGTTTTGAGTGGAGAAGGGGTGGGGGTAGGAAGGTTCACTGCTGTGTCTTCCGTTTTGAAAACTCAGAACAAATGGCAGATGAGTATTTTTGGTTTCAGCCCCACAACAGACTGCCTGCTGCTTCCACAAACAAACTCCGTGGTCACTTTTAAACATGAACTTAAAACCTCTTCTTTTTAAAAGATCCTTTAAGAGTTCACATATTTTATAAGCTTCTTAGATTATTCTTAGACTTCAACGTTTTGAGGCTTATATGTCGTTTCTCTTCCATTTTTCAGATTTAGAAGACGAAGTAAAAAAGCTAGTCTCACCACACTTTTTAAGTGGTCTTCTAATGCTAGATGATTTTGTCCAGATTTTGAATGAAACACCGAATGATGTCAGTGCAATCGCTGCTCAACGAATAATGCCTGATCTCCTTGGTCTTGTAAAGAAGTCTCACGAAGCATTCTGTCATGCTGAATCCACAATACACGAGATAAATGGCAGGTTGGACAACAACCTTCAGATAATTGTGGTAGAAGAGAAAAATACAAATGACATCCTCAAACAAACTCAGGAAAGTTTAGCAAAACTGGAAGAGAATATGAAAGTTAAACAAGACGAGTATGATGAAGTCAAGGAACAACTTTCCAAGTTAGATTCAAACCTTAGAAGAGAGAAAGAGTCTCTGCGACAAAAGAGAAAACAACTAGAAATAGCTGAAAGAAAACGCAATGGAGGAGTCCTGGTAGGTAGTGTCCTAGGAGGAATATTTGGCGGACCAGCTGGAGTCTTTACTGGTCGTTATATAGCTAATGCTGTGCACAAGACTGATGTCTCCAACGCTGAAGAAGCCGTCAACGAAGCTTCATCTCAGGAAGAAAAAACCAGAAGAAGATTTGCTGTCAAGCAAGAAGAACTCTCCAAATTGGTACACGAACAAGAAGAACAAGAAATAGTCAAGAGGTGGAGATGCCAGGAGTTGGAACTGCTCAAGACAAGAAAGGAAGATATAAAAAAATCCCAAAAACGTTTAGCA